CTTTCCCCAGAAATCAGATTTGGACTTCGCACTAACAGTTTTCAAATACTCGGTCACATCAACTTCTATGCTTCATCTATAAACACGTGACCCCTTTGTTTTCAGAAGTCATTTTAAAAGCCTGTTCACATTTTGCTGTCTTCTCCAGCTCTCATCACCTGCCAACTCTGCAGGCCTATGACAAGCCATGCACGTAAAGTTTTTAATGATATTAATCTAAGTATGCTGAAACATGCAGTTTTCTTCCATGGAAAAGAATAAAACTTGAAGGACACACATTTTAGAGCCCTTGGTACATCCTGTGGCTTATTGCAGAATACAGCTCAACCCCTTGCATTGAGAGGTGGGAAGCAAAGCAAGGATGGCTATCAATTTACAAAGGGTAGCTAATCATACAAGACTGACAACTTCTTCTATTTTAACACACTCGCTGCCAAGATAATAAATGCACAAGTGTTGATTTTTTCAGCAGGGCATTTTCGTCCACTCTGAGGCACATGTTGAGCGACTCACTGGCTTTAACTCACTTTCCCAGCAAAGAGATTTTCCTCACTGCAGGCAACATTGCTTCATCCCTCACAGAAGGTCGAGCTGTAAGCAAGCAGATAAGCTTGCTTTGAAGAGACTGGTTTTAAATGTATTGAACCTTTGGATCACACCTCAATAACCCATCCTACAGACCAAATGATTACACCTAAACCCATTTCATAGGAAGATTTCTGATGTCAACTGCCCTTCCATTTGGTACCTTACATGCATATTTCTGCATTTAATTTTCCCCAGTGCACCTGCCACTATCAGGAGGTATGGGATCACAGATACACATTTCAGCTGATACTCATGACCACCTCCAGAGCAGGGATCATCTCTCCTTGACTCTTTCTGCTCTATCACTTTTTCTCATGAGGCACCACAAATTTACACACCAGCTAAAGACAGGTTTTGAACCTGCCACTCAGGCAGTCAATTCCAATGTCTTCATTGGCACAACCACATTGTAATTTTATTATTTCCACTGAGCACTTGTTATTTGGATTTTTCCTCCCCTTGCATGTTTCTAGCTTCCATTTTTTTCCAATCGAATCAGCATTTTATTTGGTCTATGTGTTATAACAAATCTTCTCTTCATTTACATCATTCCTGCACTCTCCAATGTTTGCAACTTCACCCACTTTAGGACTATCTCCAAATTTAACATCTTTACACATCCTGAGTAACTACTCTGTAAAAAATTAAAGCAACTCACAGAGCTAAAAAAAAAAAATAAATAGAGCAGGACCTCAAAACATCACAAATGATGAAGTCCCTTATTAATCATGAATAGATACTAGACCAAAATCATTTATATGTAACAGACCTGACATAATTCCAATAACAACAGCTAATTATAATTAAAAGGTGAAATAAAAAAAAGGTGAAATGTAAGCTAGCCTTGGGGCATGCTTTGTTGTACAAAATATGGGTACCAAGGTCAGTGTAGCAGGACTGGAAAAAATTAAAAATAGTGTTTGCATGGGTTGCTTTTTTGTTACTTAACACCATACCCTAGGCTAGAATGCCCTTGTCATCCCAGCTCTGGGACAGCTACCTGGGACTCGGTCAAAAACTGACAAAGGCAAGGAGCTTCAGAAAAACCCAGCACTGCCCAGTGGTCTATCAATGTCCCTTAAAAAGAAGAAGTTGTATAAGCTGTTACATGCTGGGCTGCTGGGCAGAGAAAAAACTTTATCCTTAGAATGACACCTCTTTCATGTCTCACCTCATGCTGTCACCCACTTCCGTATTCCAGTTCCAATTTTCACCATTTTACTGATTCAAAAACTAGTAACACATAAATCACTGGCAGTGAAATTTTTTTGGTGTTTGGGGCCAGATCTACTCTTAAAAGCACAGCAGAAAATGCAGTCTGAAACTACTGAATCTACTGAAGAAATCATAACTACCTGAAATAGCATGATCCTAGATTTGAAAATGAAGGAAACAGTCATCAGTAATGCAATAATTGTGCAACATTAAAAAAGAAAACATGTAGGAATTTCTAAATGATGCATATTGTCCATGCATTTTGAAAAAACATACTTAAAATAGTCACAACATCTACTTATACTCTTAAACCCCACATTATTATCAAATCAGACCAGTATCTTATAATTTTAATGAAATCTAAAACAATGGTTTTGAGATAGAAAAGGTCAAAGACTTTAAATTCTTGTAATAAACAGATGGAAAGTTGCAAAAGAGTCACAGGCAAGCATTTGAATACAGACAGGCATACAGTATCATTTGAAAAAAGACCCAAGAGATGCAGTAGAAAGAGGGTAGTCGAACAATCATTACTGTAGTTTGACTGGGGAGAAACACAAGCAAGCAAATAAGGTAGAATTTTTCTTCATTAAAAGAAAAAAAAAATTACTCCATTCTAGCTACTTTAAATTTCTGGTCTATGTCTGGTACATCTGATACTTTCCCTAGTTCATTAATTATTTGATTTAAACTATTTCTCATCCAGATTACTTGCCTAAGTAACTTACATATACTTATTAACTAATTTGATTAGAGCACAATCCTTCAGATGACAATGATTTAACGACAGGTCTTGGATACATGCACCGTGAGCGTGTTGTTTATTTAGACCTTGGAAATACATGGCCACTCAGCCTCACTTAATCTGTCCTTGACTTACATTATTCAGTTCTGTTAATGCCAGCAGTTTCAGTCTGCAAAAGAGAATGATTTTCTTCTCTGCTAAAAATTGTTGTATCAAATAATAATATTACTTAAAGCAGTAATTCTGACTTGAACGCTATCTCAGTCTTCCTGCCTAACACAAGGAAAATGCGATTCAACCCTTCCTCAGCACAAACCATAATCCAAGCTGGCACTGCACTAGGCCTGGTGGTCTCTTAACATGACATGATCAAGGCTGAAAGCAACAGCAACAAAGCCTCCTCTCTGTCCAACAGAATACAAAGAGTTCATGCAATTGTCAGAAGCCATACTTATGGCGTATGGATAAATCACCTAATACATATGTTCACATAGAGATATATATATGCACACACACATCTACAGAAGCAGAAGAAACAGCAGAAATGCTGTTCAAGCTGACTCAATACACATGACTTGGCTACTCTTGGTCATTAACAAAAGACATCAACAAAACCCAAAGGGCTTCTCACCTGTGGCAAGTGTAACTGGAGCCCCTCACTGGGAATGGGCTGTCGAGATGGGGTCTGGTCCAGCTGCATGTTAAACAAGGATGCCAGGGCTGACTGAGCAGCCCGAGCTTTTGCCAGCTTTTTATTCCTTCCTGAGCCTTCAAAAGTCTGACCGTCCACTGACACGGCCATGACAAAGTTTTTGGCGTGGCTCTCCCCGCTCTCTGAGAGAAACTCATACTTCAGCCCTGGCCGCAGCTCATTGAGGATCATGACAGGGTTCTTCCCGCTGGTGGAGGGGTAGGGTGATGGCACGGGGAGAGGTGACTGGGAAAGGCTGCTAGCTACAGCAGATGACGGCAAACTGTAGTCCCCACTAGAGCTAAAGGACCCATCCCCATTGGACCCTAGGTAAAAGGAAGCATCAGAAGGGACCGGTGTTTCGAACCCGTTGAAAAGCGTGTCGGGGAAGTCCGCTTGGTCGGAGGTGAAGTCTGTGTTGACTGACAGGGTCCTCCCCATTGCCAGGTGGGCTTCTGAGGCGTTTGGAAACTGGACGAAAGATCGCAGAGCCTTCTCAGCAGCGTGAAGCTTGGCTTTTTTTTTTGTTGGGCCAGACCCCTCAAATACCTGCCCGTTGACTTCGACTGCCATCACGAACATGGGGGCATGGACCGGCCCTGTCTGGGAGAGGAGTTTATACTGTAATCCTGGCTTAATCTCATTAAGTTGCATCAGGGCATTCTTTGGCAGAACAGGGCCGGGTGTTTTCTTCCTCTTCTTTGGGCGAAATTTGGAGTGGCCATTGTTGCCCTCCTCCAAAGGACGCTTTCTACTGCTGCTGCCACCACCATTGGAGAGCTGCGTCCCCTCCCCGGCACCTTGCCCACCGCCATCCTTGGGGGGAACGTTGTCCACATTGCGGTTTTCTTTAACATCAGTGCTGCTCGAACCTGCGGTGCCCAGAAAGAGTAACTTACAATGCCTTCGTTGCAGGATCTTGTAAATGCAAAATTTATAGATTCCTTTATCTCTCTTTGTAACTGGTTAAGTGATGTGTGCTCACAGGTTAAGTGTTTTGCAATATGATCAGAGATAATAATAATGCAATAGAACCTCTCAATCATTCAAGTAGTAATACATTCAAGAATGATTTTCAAACTACGCATTTCATACAACCATATAGCAATAAAGCACCACAGCTTTTTTTTTTTTTTGCATTTAAATCACACTGGAACAAAACTTTTACTCATAAGTTATATTTGGCCTGAAAAATGCTTTAAACCAGACATATAAGTTATAGTAGCATACACCTATAAAACAAAGAACTACCATAAATAAAATAAAAATGGATGCTTAAGACGAGTACTAGGAGATGCATATTTAATTCTACCTTATTCTTATTTGTGTTACTTTTTTTTTCTCAGTGATTTTAGTTGCTCAAATTAAGAAATTGCATAAATAGAACATGAGCCCGGAAAAATTAGGCAGTTCTTTGGTAGGCAGCTTGACCGATGAGCGTTTGAATGCTTTTGTTTCCCTTTAGCTATTTGATATTCTCCAAATTCAATTCTTTTTTACACTTTTCCTAGACTTTCATTTCACCTCACCCCAATTTGCTCAGGAACTACAGCTGCCTGCTGTGCCAGCATGACCAGAAGACTACTATATATATTGCCACACAGCCTCCTTTTAAGAAACCTTATATTCGTCACTTATAAGCTATTTTCTAATTGCTTGCAAAGTAAGAAAAATGCTATCACAGATTTACAAACCCAAAAATCATCATAGAGATCCTAAGACTATGCAAAATGCAAGAAGTGCGGCAAAAGCTGTGCAATCACAATGATGACATTTTACTGGGGGGGGGGGGGGGAAGGCATTGTAACATTAATTTAATGATTTTCTACAGTAGGAAGTTGGGGTAATGGTATGTCAGATGTATATTTAAAGAACAGTATTTGCTGTAACGGCAAAGACCTCATTTTTACCCTGATAAAGAAAATAAGGAGATTAATTATGTCTGCTTTATATTGGCATTTGTAAATGAACAGTCAAATTTAGTAGGTCAAGTATGTCTAACTCTTCTGTTTCAAAACTTCCAAATATCTATATTACATCTATACTGATACCAGGTGATAAATATTAATTGAAAAGAGAGCAAACAAAGGTGTAAGCTCTCTTTCACAGTGACAAATTTCAACTACATTTTAAGTCTTCCCTAAAAACCCCCTACCATGCACACACATCACTTCGCCCAGGTCACAAAGCTGATGGAATGGTTACTAAATTTTCATTTATAACATCCTCCAGCAAAAGCTCGATAGGTTACTCCTTTCGGTGCTCAAAGAGAAAGAAGAAGGAGAAAAAAAAAAAAGATCAAAAGAAAGAGCCAAAGTAGGAATAGATTTTGTTAAATCACAGTGGCACAACAAAGAATTGTACAGTACTGAACATTAAATTCCAGTCAATTAAATTTGGTCAAGAATGAAACGCTAAATCTTCTGAAGCATTTCATTGCTAGAAATCTGCTAAATTTAATAAAGTATCTCTTGTAACATTCAGCCACAAATTATATTGCCTGCAGAATGTGTGCTATAGGGCCACAACTGTCAATACACAGTGTTTATGTATATGTATTCTTTACATATATATATATACACACATATACACGGTGAAGGACAATAGAGTGAATTTTTAAGTCTTTCCTTACAGTGAGTTTCTTACCGGAAACTGTAATCTCCAAAAATTACATCTCATCCAAACCACTGTTTCTGGAACATTGCTCTTACTAGTGGTACCAGGAATTTGCTATCAACCAATAACCCTTTTAGGCTAAACAGAAATCATTTAGTTAACACTAATTAATGGAGTCTAGCTTTATCTTTCTTTTTATATGAAGACTACTACCAGTGCCTGTGGAAACCACAGAAGGAAAACACAAGTTGAAAAGACTCCAGCTAAATGCGAAAAAAAAGAATGTAAGTATGTTCTTTTACAGGTACTTACGTACATGTAAGTATGGCAGCTGGAGGAACTCCTCAATCCATCTCATTACACAGGCAAAGGAAACAAAGCCCAGACAGAGAGGGACTACTTGTAGGAAGCAAGAAAGAAACTTGCATGCTTACCTTGTCTCAATAAGAAAGAAGGGAAGAAAACTATTCTTTGCCTGAGAGTTACTAGGCTTGTCAGCTTTGGAGAATCTGCAGCGTGGAAGAAACTGAGAGAGGAAGCAAGCAGGGAGCTAGGAGCCTGAGTCAAACCCGGAAACTATGAAAGTAGGCAAGTTTCTACATCATGGAGGAGATCTAAATGCAAGTCTTGAACGTAATGGAAAGAAAAAGACTTCCCATGGGAACCAGAAGGAGCCAGGTTTGTTTCAACCCACAGAGTCATCGGACTGCAAGAAAGAGTAACTGCCTCTCAGGCTGAGGGTGAAAATGTGCTTTTGGTCCTTTTCTTTAGCCTGTCCTGCTCAGCAGTGGTGAGGTCCCCTAATTACCTTAGGGCTGGAGAAGAGCTGACAAATTAGTCAAAAAGTAAGATTAGTTATCACAACCTGTTAAAGTCAGAGAAGCCATCTCATTTAATTTTGGTGATATTCAGACATGGATTAACTCCTCCAGCCCAAACTCTCCCTGCTACTCAGAAACAGCTCTCCCTTTTCCAGGTACCTCACCTCATTAGAGAAGTTAAGAATGGTCTTACTACCTCATCCTCACCTCACACAGCTCCCTGCCTGCAACAGGGCCATGAGCAGACCCCAAGAGAGGGTATAAAACCAGAGCAAGGACACAGAGCCACTTCCCCAGGCCAGCCTCTCAGCTTGCAGGGAGCCACAGCTCTGGGCTATCCCAGACAGTCTGGCAGGGAGCCACCGATGTTTGTTTTTTCCCCCAGGAATTTTTCTAACTGCTTTTCAAGATCCCATAAATCCTTGGTATCCACAATGTCCTGGGCAACGCATTTCATAGTTTCATTACACGTTGCATGAAAACATCTACTATTGCTTGCTTTGAACCCCCTCAGTTAGTCTCACTTAAAGCATCTGTTGGTTTTTATTTGCTTTTTTTTTTTCAATTTGATGATTCCAATATTAACCATCTTATGCTGCTCATGATTTTGCATATACCTCTAGCATTTCAACCTCATCATCCCTCGTCTACACCACAGGGGTCTAACTGACCCTTGTCCTGAGGTCATCCTCTTCTCACAGCAGCAGACCCACAGCTGGATGCACCTGTATACTTGCTTTTCTTGCTTTATTCTGCAGTCTTTTTCATTCTGGTAATATGTTGGTTTAGAGACTGTAATACTTTGGGGAGTCTCTCACTTATTCCAAAGAGAATGAGGCAGGGCAACTACATCACCCCGAAAGCTCTGGCTGATTCAGGATCCCATCATAGCTCAAACTGGGAGCATCAATACTCAAAAGGAGAAAAGCTTTGTTGCTCTAAAGCAGAGGTCATGGCAGACATGGACCACCACTCCATGCATGTTCTAAAACACAGCTTAGACCACTTCAAAGTCTATTGGTCTGATTTTGAAAGCAGTATTAAGCCTTGTGCTGCCAGCATCACATCTACAATAAGGCAGGAAAATGAGAACCATGAGTGTTATAATACTATTAGAAAGTACAAAGCATAGGAGAGAGCTGGCAGTAGAAAAAAATTACCATCAGAATTATATCTAAAAAAAAATCTCTTCATTCAGTAATTCATTATCCTTTTTTCATTTTTAGTAAACTTTTTTATGTTAGCATTGTATGTCTTGCCTCAGAAAAGTTACACAGTCTTGGTGGATCTCCTAACATACTCCAAAATCAAGAGATTTAAGAACAGCTTAATCCTAGATTTTAAATACACTTTCAAGTCTATGGATTTTCCAGTCTTTAAATAAGTTTTCAAGGAATTAATGCTTTACAGAGCTCTTTGAGGTGCATCACGGCTGTTGTGTATTCAACACTTTAAAGTAGCATTAATACAGATATAAATACTTGATAAGGGGATCCTGTTTTCTTAAACATCAGTACTACCCATGATTTAACAAGAAGACATTTTTCATAAGACTAGCTTATTTTCTAGTCACTAAAAATAGTTGGCAGCTTTGACTAGAGATTTCACTGACATCTGTAGAAGCTGCCTTGGTAAAAATCATAGCTGACAGAATCACATGCCAACAACTTCAGTGGAAGACAAGTCCTGCCCCTGAGATCTTGTTTGAGAGGCTTACAAACCTGAGAACACTCAAAGAAGGAAAAAGGCACAGGAAATTTTCATGCCAGTAAAGAAAGAAATCTTTCTGAGTGTGTTGGTTTATTTTTTGTTTTATTCCCTGTAATTAAAAAGTGTCTGTAATTAAGATGCTTTATCAGTTGGGGAACTTCCATGACCTGCTTGCTGAGAGACAACACTCTTCCTGCTCTGTCTGATCTGGAGCACACTTAATTACATTTAGATGACTCTTAACTGAACCAAAAGATGTTTCTAGCTACCTCTTATACTGCTGCTCTCATTTACAGACCTGGGAAAATTCTAAATAAACCATTTTTTCATAAGAAACAGGCAGAAAAAACACCCATGTGACCTCTTCTAAGCATCTTTTTAGAAAAAGGGGGAAAATCATCAAAAAGAAAGATCAGGACAGCCACATGCTAGTATCCAAAGTGTTCTGCAAAATGCCCCACTTCTCCCTTGCCTGTAAGGTAATCAATAAGAATAGGCAACAGTGTGAATTTGCCCCTAGTAAATTATTTATTTCTATTGTAGTGATGCTTCCACTGTGCTCTGTGGATGCTGAGATAGTACGCTGGTGGGACTCCAGCACAGATTCCTGGGGCATTCAGAGTGCTGCAGACATACCCTCCATGCAAAGCAACAGAAAACAAAACAAATAAAAAACACTCTAAAAAAATAATATCTTTCGCTAAATCTTTTGTAACATCTTCTCTGTGTTCAACAGATAAAGGAGGAAAACCTTAAAAGCTGAAGTCTGACAGGGACATTAATGTAACCTCATCACTGTCTTACATTTCAGCCGAACCAATACAATTTTAATTCTGGCTTCTGCAGAGCAATTCTAGTTATATAACTGCAAGCTATAAATACTGCATGTGCCCACCTTCCTTTCCTGTAAGATACTTCCCCAAAAAGGAGTTACAAAAAAATTAATAGGCAACTTCTGATATCACACTTTGCCATCTTAACAGATATAAAAATACGGAAAGATAAAAAAAAAATTAAAAAATCAAAAAAATCTTTACACGAATCAAGCGGAAGAACTTAAGAATCTGAACTTTAATTTCCCTCCCCCCAATCTGATGATTTAATGTTTCAAATTCATGATGTTTGTGTGGGCATACAGACGCAAGAAGGTCTTCTTGCACCTTCTATTAACTGGGCTTATCCAAGTAGACATGTTATCTGTACCTTCCTTTCATAAACCTGGTACAGATGACATCTCAAAACATACTTCTGGGAGACAACTACGGTTATACAAATTCATGCCCCAAACCAATAGGAACCCCATGGAGCCAAACTGCTCACAAGACAAAAAATTCAGTGAATGGTTTCCTATATTGATGCACTGACACACACACAAAAATGTTTTGTGTTTTTGTGGGGGGTGTTTATTTGGTTTTTGTTTGTTTAACCCAATGATGTAGCTTCTTTATCTCCCAATAATTTTTTTCTGTAACTCTTCCAGACTGAACCACAACTCTTCCGCTCTAAAGCCTCCTACGCTGATGGGCTTTATCAGCTTTGCCAGAGACGTGCCATTTAGCCATTGTCACTTAGGGGAAAAATAAGCACATTTGTTATTATATCACATGCAATTATTTACAGTCAGGCACAGCACATGAGCACAGTAGCAACAGAACGTTTCTCTCATTCACAAAAAAAGTTTGTTGAAAGGCCAATAATATTAAAAATATTTTTATGTTTTAATGAGAACACTGTCCTTCACAGGTTATCAGATCTTTATTACACCACAGCGTTAGCAACCTTGCAGTACTTCGCCAGTGTATGCCTCAAGATGATTATTACATTTGACTATTTTTGTGTTTAAACACACTTTAGTAATTCAGTAGCTCAGGGTTGGAACAATCAACATCTAATCAGAACACTCAGTCATGCAAGACCTGCAGGAGATCTTCTAGCTCCTCTTTTTGCTTTTCCTTCCTCCATTTCTATGTTCACTCATTATTTTATACACTTCAACTCCACCTCCTTTGTCTCACCCCTCCCTTCTGACTGGTCTCTAACCCTTATCATTTGCACTACCAATATTGTCCCTCTCTTCTTCATTGCTGGTTCAAAACAGGAAAATATTTTGTTTAATTAGGCAGTTGTTGGAAGAAAAATATGAGACACAAAGTATAACTAGACTAGCATATAACCATGTGTATTTAAAACAATGCAAAAGCTGATTCACTCTTCTATACCATATTTTAAAACTTACAAAGAAATAATTTTATGCTTCCCAAGTTTCTTCACAGTTGTCCCTGTGCTCATGAATAAAAGTCACTTTCAGAAATGATTACATAGTTTATTACTGTGTAAATAAGCACATCTTACTCATGTTTTCTTCATCATCTACATCCATTGTGAACTATTTTTGCTGGTTTCTTGGCTGGCAGAGACTGCTTCTGTCTGGAAAACAGAGAGTAGGATATTTAAGCTTTAAGGTACCAACATACACGATAAAGCATTAAATCGCCTTTAAAAGCAGCAGCCTAGGCATTGGTTTTGCTTTGAGCTGTCCATGGTTTTTGCTCACTTTTCACATAGTATTTCCCCAAAGTGCCTATTTCTGTAGCTGAGGTGCACTCTGCAAAATTGCAAATTCAACAAGGTTTGCAAGAATTTGGGGGGTTTTGTGCTGAACTACAATATTTTTATCTGAATGAGTATGTAAACTACTTTATCTCACTACCTTTTTTTTTTTTTTTCCCCAACCTCCAAAATAATGTCAAATCCACTCTGCAGGTTACCACACAGACAATTTAAGCAGTCAAAACACTGAAGATGCAGTTTTTTACCCAGCACCAAACTGATGAATGTCTGTTTGGTTTGGTTAAATCCTGACCCAAGACCCCTCATAAAACTGAGATGATCACCAATGACCGAAAGATGTAGCCCTGTATCAGACGAAGGAGAGAGTGGGTAATGTAACCCTCTGTCCCTACATGTGGATTTTCTTATTAACTGACACATCCAGACAATATCACATATAGGCTACCTGGGTGGGGGGAAATAGATTTTATTAACCACAGGGACTTTCATTTAATCAAGAGAGACTGATCTAAAGGTGAATATAAGCATCTGACACGCAAAATATGTAATTTACCTAGCATTTGCTTTGAAAGAAGGCAACACTGTTACCCGAATCAAAAGCACTAATTTAAGTGTGATGGGTTTTGTGGTTCAGTTTGCTTTTGTTTTTTTTATTATTTCAGTTTGTTTTTTCCTGACTAATCAAGTACAATGCAATATCTGTTGCTTTCTAGGTAATTGCTCCAATCTTAGTGTCACAAGTGCCCCAACAGGGTTGGAGCACTGAACCCCAAAACCAAACAGGGACTTCAACTTTTAACAAAATATCCATTATTACAGTGAGGAAAAAGTAGCAGAGCATTAACAAGCTTCGCATTCTTACACTGGACTGGATCAAACCATGGAAATTTGTCTTGTACTTGCCAAGCTGTTGAATTTTGTGGATCTGCCTCTTAGCTTTTTTGAAGCATTCATTAACAACTAAGCATTGTGTTTTCTATGTGCTGCATTGCAATTTTTTTAAAAAAAATATAATTAATTTTCTGCTGATTCTTCACCGCAATTAAATGTTTGGATAGTACCTGAAGAGAATTAAGTCCAGTACAGATGCAAAATCATTCTGTGATGATCTAGTCTCATGTAACATCTGTAAAATTTGATTCCTTCTGCTGACAATCAGATTAAATTAAGATTGAAGTCCTACTTTTAAGTGCATCTTTGATCCTACTCCAAAACTATTACAAATAGTCCCCAGAAACTGTAGGGTGAAACTTCAACCTTCTTTTGTTACTTCCAAACTACAATTATCATCCAGCAGAGTTTCAGTCTTACTCAGCTTATTTTTACCATAGACAGTATAAATTCTAATTATCTGTGGACATTTTACTTACACTGAACATATCTTAAAAGTTAAGAATTGCATGGATACTTTCAGGTAAGCGTTCAGGACAGCAAGAACTTGGCAGAACAAGCAATAGCCTATTCACCCCAAGGCTGTGGTCACATATGCCAGATCAGATGAGGGAACCGATTCTCACCACCGGTACGTTGCTACTGGTGCCAGTAAAAATACCTGGGCGATGTGGCTGGGAGAAAGAGAGGCCTGATAATGTCCTAAGAGGATATGGCATTAGCCTTGTGAAACCAAGGGCTGAGGCGGCAGCTGGAAGGGACGGGGAGATCAGGGTGGGAAGCAGAGGTTGTTTATGCCTTCAAAAGCATGGGAACACTGGAAGGTAAGTGGCATAAAAGATGCTGCTTGGTTTCATGCTGCTGTACTGGCTGGGACAATTTACACCACTAAAGTATTTCCTCTATTGTATTATGTTTTGCCCTTCCCTCAGTGAAGACACACATCTGTGTCTCTCATCCAGTTGCCAATGTCAAATATTTAGGAACTTCTATGCTTTGAGACTTCTTTAAGTGTCAGCACTGGTGGAAATCAGACAACAGAGTCAAAAGAGGAACCATATAAAACATGGCCAATTGATAAGGTTGACAATAAAATCAACAACAAACATCGCCACATGCTTGCCCATAACAATGAATTTGTTCCATCTTTCTTCCCACCACTTGTGAGAAAAATCTAGCTTTAATTCCACTCTACATTAAAACAAAAGGCAGTACTTTGACTGATGCTCTTAATGCACAGATTGCATACCATAGTAATTCAAATGCATAATATGTAACTACCAAGTTTTGTAAAAAGAAACTAGTCATTTTGCCCCTATTTATTATTTTAATAGACACTTCATGCAAAGCATGCAAAAGTAAGGTGCAAATCCAGAGTCCAGGTCTAAATGCCAAACCTAATGAACTACATTGGTCCATTTTGTTCCTTTTTATGTCAATTCAGTTTTATCTTTGCTAACATAAGAAGAAAAAAAAAAAACCACAAAAAAATCTATCCAAGAATGAAAGATCTGTAGAGATGCGATATGTAGGGATACAGAAACAAATAATAATTGCTGGACAGTAGTATAAACCACAGGGGTGATGCACATGCAGTCCTCATCCAGCACCACAGCCACAGAAGCAGCACTAATCAGCCCTGTAGTCCAAACAGCTCACTGAACCATCAGTCTACTGACCAACATACTCAAATTTCATTGTTGATGTGCCAGGAGATGATTTCAGGACAGAATAACTGCATGATTTGCCCAGTGAAACTGTCACTTCAAAAACAGGTTTTTGTAAAACTGCAACCACTGGCACATAGGTGATTAAAATGTAAATGTGTATATCGGAAACATCAAGAAACTTGTAGTCAAAAAATACCAGACACTGAGAAATGAAGAACAATGTTAAAATACACATATAGATGCTTAAGTTTGCAACTTTAATATCCATGCTAAATATTGTTATTCAGTAATTTAAAATAATGGAATCTGTTTATCCTCAACTAAACAGATCCTCAGCACACTACTTGCAATCTTTACAGCTTTTCATAGCAGGAGCTAAGCAGCACTTACTGAAAATGTAAAGTGTACCTTTAGCAACCATTACACTAATTAATGCTATGCCTCTAAAAGTAGAATGAGAG